TCCGGAGGCCTGAGATTCGGGCGCCGGAGGCGAGGTGTTCTCATTGGCCCAGAGGGCAGCGTGGCGGACCGCGGGGGACCGCGATTGGCCCAAAGCGACGGCCCGTCTGGTTGCCACAGGGAATGGCAGGTTGTGATTGGCATGGTTTCCCAGGCTCCAATTGGAGCCTCTAGGGAAGTCCCGCCTCCCTCAAAAGTAGGATGCCCGGCCCACCTGTGGCACGCTGTGGTTGGTGGGTGGGGATTCGGAAGCACCAGAGCCCCTGCTTAGCGAGGATGCTGCTGATTGGACAAACGGCTGGCCCGGCATGACGTGATTGGTGGGGCTTGGGAGGCTGGCGTTCTGATTGGCCGGCAGGCTGACCGCGCCCCGCTGCCCTTGCTCAGGACCGTGGATGCGCTGGGAGTGCTGACCGGCGCGCAGATTTTCTCGCTGCAGAAGGAGGAGTTCCGCGCGGTGAGCCCCGAGGAGGGCGCCCGCGTGTACAGCCAGGTCACGGTGCAGCGCGCGCTGCTGGAGGTGAGCCGGGCCGCCCGGCCCGCCCGTCCCGGCCGGGACCGGGGAGGGCGCCCAGGGCTGGGCCGCCGCAGTCCTCACTCCCACCCCGCCCTCCAGGACAAAGAGAACGTGTCAGAGCTGGAGGCCGTGATGGAGAAGCAAAAGAAGAAGGTGGAAGGCGAGATGGAAACCAAGGTCATTTGACTCTCCCCGGACCTCCGGGAACGGTGTCCGGGCGGCGGGTTTCCCCGCGCCCCGTGGGAGAATGGACTCTGCATGCAGACCCCCCGCCGAGGGAACCAGACCCCTGGACGGATCGCGGACCTGTTCCGACCCTGCTCTTCCCAGTCCCCGTGGATAAAACGGACCATCCTTGCTGCACAGTCCTGGGCGAGGCCGGGCTGGAGCGGGAGGGGCAGGGGAAAGACCACGCAGGGACCGCGCTCGTGGCGCGCTCAGCCCTGCTTATTGCCATGTGCTGCCCCGTCTATAAACAGCCTCCTCTTCACAGGCCGTGCCAACTGCTGTCCCTTCTCTACCCGGCACCCCGGGCGCTCGGGACCCTGCCCCTCACCTGGCTGGGAGGGAAGCAATCCAGGTCCTAGAATAGGAGACGCCCCCACCTTCGCCGGCTCCTTTCTCCGAGTCCCCCTCTCCTTACCCAGAGCCCCAAGCCAGGCTTCCTCCTGCCCTCCGGCCCCGGTCACTCCCGAGGGCCCTTCTGAACACCCAGTGTCCCCGCCCCGCCCTTGCTCAACACCCTCCTCTGGCTCCCCATTGCACTCCGAGCCCACAGCCCGGAATCCCAGGGCCTGAGTGGTTTGGTCCCCACCCACCTCTGCAACCTCGCCTCTTCCTCATTCTCCCACGGGCGGCATTCTGGGCCTGCCCGTCTCCAAACACACTCCCGGAACCTCTCCGACCGCTGGTTTATGCTGCTGCGACAGCAAGTGTCTGCCACCTGGTGAACTCCCATTCGGCCTGCCCGGGCCAGCGCAGGCACCCAGTTCAGGAGGCCCGCCTCACACACACACCGTCCCCGCTTAGTCTCCCAGCTTCCACTCGGCACCGTCCCACCTCCTGCCAGAGGCCCAGCCACGGAGAAGTGGCAGCTCCTGGGCAGGACAGGCTTCCTGGCTCCGGGAGAACCAGCTCCTTCCCCTCTGGCCAGCGGGCTCAGGCTGGCCTTCTGGGGCCCAGCCTCCTGCAGACTGGACGTTCAGCAGCGTTGGCCACGCCAAGCTCCCCTATGTAATACTTCCAACAATAAAGAATGTCCCTGCCCCATGGAGCTCAGCTCCTACCTAAGCCACCGATGGCCTGTGGCCGGCCAGGGTCACTGGCTTCTCAGACCCACCTCTGTTTCCCTCTTCCTGCCACCAGGAAGCAACCTGGCCCTCATGGGTGTCTAGACCTTAACCCTCTTGTCTGGGCCCCCATCATTTCTAACGGAGGACCAGAGATGCAAGTGGGTCCCCAAACCTGCTTGCCCCACGGTTTTCCCTCCTGGATAACCCCATGCAGCCATCATCCAGGCTGCTGACTGGACTGGTTTGGGAACGCTGGAGGGACCTGCCTCCAGGGAGTCCTGACAGGTGGGACTGTGACAGGAATGGAGCTGGAACAGACAGCTGACCCACAGGAGCAAACCGGACTGGTCTCCCGTTTCTGTCCTGCACAGCCCTCCCCCAGATGGTTCTGATGGAGCAGCCAGAGGCATCTGCTCAAATGTAGGCACCCCCCCCTCAGCTCAAGTCCTTCCCAGGCCACAGCCCTACGTGGCCAGCCATTCATTACCTCTCCAGACCCATCCCCTACTTCCCTCCAGCCACATGGGCTTCCTTGTGCCTCAGTATGTCAGCATACTTCTACCCCAGGGCCTTTGCACATGCGTCTGAACACCCAGAAGACTCTTCCCTCAAATACCAACATGGCTCATTCCCTGATGCCTTCAAGTACCTGTCTGAGCCAGCATCTCAGTGAGGCCTACCCTGATTACCCTGTACACAAGACACGCACACACGCGCGTGCACACACACACACCAGCCCCCTACCCCGCCCCCTGCCTTTTCTCCATAACACCACCACCTGAAATGCACTCCTTTTGTTGCTGGGTGTTTCAGATCGCTGCCTTTTTCATTCACTACTGTATCAGCAACAGGTAGGCCAGGGTCTGGCATGCAGCGTATGACCAGGAATGAATGAATGAATGGGCGGGCGAATGCCTGCCCCACCCTGAAGAGCATGTTACCATGCAGCACTGAGCGCTCACTGTCACGGCTTCCTGTTCGTTTCCGAGAAGTCAAGTTCCAGAGTTTTCTATGCGAATCACCCACATTTTAAATGCTGTTTCAAAAGCAGTGATGACAGGACCCAAGCTCCCCACTCTGTTCTCACAGCCACTTGCTGGTAAGCACGTCAGCCCGGCTGGGCCTCTGCTCCAGCAGGCTCTTCCTGAAGGCCCTCCCCAGCCGGGGAGCACGCACCTCCGCCCTCAGCACCCCACCCTGCCACACAGCCCGGCGGACGCAGCGTCCCACCTCCAGCAGGGGACCCAGCCGCTGAGTGGCAACTTCACGACTTTTATTTGTGGTGCCTGTGCTATGTCTCGAAAATACCTTCTCCCCCAGCCCCGGACAGCGCCGGGGAGGGGGCAGCAAAAAATAGAAGACGTCCCTCCCTATTGCACACGGACCCTATATACAGGCCCGCCCGGCCCAGGCCGGCGGGGCGCTTGGCACATTCTCGGATCCCTGCTCAGGGGCGGGAGGGGTGACTGTGGCAGCACACATGAGAGGGGACCTCCGGGTGGCCACTCTGGTCCTGGCTACTGGTCCTGGCACTTCCTGGTCCTCGGTTCCTTCCTGGTCCTGCCTGCAGCCCTGGTCCCCTACCTGGCTCAGCTCCCGGCTCCATCCTGGCCTCAGAGGGCCCCCTTGGCTCCTGGGGGCTCTGTCCTCCCCTCCCAGCCTGGAGGTCCCGAGGGGAGGTTATGGCTGC